ATGAAGAAACTGGGCAAAGGCTTCAAGGGTACAAATGGCACAAGACTCCCAGTGACTCACCAAATACATATTAGAACACATAGTTATACCTATTACACAGCAGTAAAGGCAGCAAGAAGCCTTATTTTATTGTTTCCATTGCATTCTGGAGTAACTGTCCATTGGAATAATTTATTAATACTTCCATACCATTTGATGTAATAAAATCCCTAAATGGTTCTCATATAACTCTTAAAATCACAGCTTACAATACAGTATTAAAGATAATAGCAGCTAAAATTAGAAGTGACATAAAAAATGAAGTGACATGAGTCATTATGATTAATTACAAGCTAAAGAAAGCCTACTTGGGCATTTAAAGTGCATCACATTTTCTGCCTACTATACCACATTGAGGAGGGGGTGTGAGCCACCACTAGAAAGTGTAAGCCAGCACTTAGAAAATTCACATCCAAGACATTACATGGCAAAATTCTGATGGTCACAGAACAACCAACAAAGTCTCCTCTGATTTTCTTTTAAGGTTGGCTGGGTATATATAGAAGAGCTGACTTAATAGGTTTCCTGGTCCCAAGGTATTTAAGGCTTTCTATGTCAATGACATAACTTTGTTTCACAAGCTTAAGGAGCAGGATGGCTGCTCAGGATTGACAGGTAAACGTTCAAGGATCATCTAATTGAATGGGTTGAATGAGTTCAAATGTCTGGGGCCTAATGAGCTGCATCCTAAAGCTGGAGCTGTGGAAGGAGCTGGTGGAAGAACTTATCGTTGAGAAATAATGGAGGACAGGAAGTACCAGATGACTGGAGACTTGGTAAAGTTGTCCTCATCTCCAAGAAAGAAAAAGAACAACTTGGGAACTACAGAGCAGTCAGTATGGCCTCAATCCCTAGGGAAATTCTGGAGCAGCTTATAAAGCAGTCAGTTTGCAAACATCTCGAAAACAATGCTGTATTTACTAGAAAGCAGCATGGATTTGTCATGGGCAAATCCTGCCAGATTAATCTGAATACATTTTTTAAGTGGTTAATCTCCCTGGTAGACTGTGAGAATGCTGTGGACTCAGTATATTTTGACTTCAGCTAAGCTTTTGACAGTGTGCTCCATGATCTCCTGATTAGCAAGCCAGCTCAAAGTGGGCTAGATAGAACAACTATCAGGTGGATCCACAGTTGGCTACAGAATCAAACTCAGAGTGCTCATCGATGGCACTTTCTCAGATTGGAGGTAACAAGTGGGGTATTTTAGGCTTCACTCCTGGGCCCAGCACTCTTCAACATTTTTATTAATGATTTAGATGAGGAAGTGCAGGGAATGGTGATCACATTTGCAGATGACACAAAACTCACTGGAATAACTAATACCCTGTAAGACAGAAACAAGATTCAAGGTGAGTGCTGGGATGAATATTCAATAGGGAAGAATGCCATGTGCTACACCTAGGGAAAAGAAACCAAATTCATCATTACAAGATGGGGAATATTTGGTTCAAGAATACTACAAGTGAGAAGGAGCTTGGAATTGTTGTAGATAACAAGCTGAGTGTGAGTCAACAATGTGATGTGGCTGCAAAAAGGGCAAATGCCATTTTAGGCTGCATTAATAGGATTACTTTCAAATCACATGAGGTACTGGTTCCCCTTTACTCAGCACTGGTTTGGCCTCATCTGAAGTACTGAATCCCATCCTGGACACCAGAGTTTAAGAAAGATGCAGACAAGGTGGAAAGGATTCAGAGGAAGGCAACGAGGATGATCCAAAAACGGAAACAAAGCGCTACGAAGAGAGATTGTAAGAACAGGGCGTGTGTAGCCTTGAGAATACTGAGGGGAGATAGGATAGCACTCTTCAAGGACGTGAAATGTCACAAAGAGAAAGGACAGGATCTCTTCTCGATCCCTGCAGAGTGCCGGACACAGAATAACACGTTCAAGTTACAGGAAGTCAGGTTACAGCTGACCATCAGAAGATCCCAGCTAGGCGCTTGGGTTATTTGGGCTATCGTTCCTTTCCTCACCGCGAAGTCCCTACTTCAACGGACTACATCCGTTCCTCTTGGGCTGTGCTCTCGCACCACTCCTCCTCCCCTCCTCTGCACAGCCATGCCCACCTGCAGCTTCCCCGAGCGGACCGCTGCAGGAGGCGGCTGCTTCCGTCCCGGAGGCGCGGAGCGGGAGGAAATGACGAGTCACTGAAGGGCGGCCGCTGCCCGGTAAGGGGCGCCGTTGCTCGAGGCCGTGGCTTGCTCTGACCTAGGTGCTCTCCTCGCCTCCGCTGCTGGCCATGGCGGCTGCTGACCAGCTTCGCGCCGAGGCAGCGGCTCCCCCGTGGCAGTTCAGCGGGGCGTCGGGAATGTCCCTGGCAGTGTGTGCGGTCCTGCTAGGCTTGGGCTGGGCCTCGGGCCAGCGGCTGGGCCGACGCAACGCGGCCACCCGGGTGGATTGCTGGGTCTTGAGCTGGCTCTGCTCCGACGTGCTGGTCCACGTTGCCCTGGTGAGAGAGGCGGGGAGGCGGGAGCGCGGAACCTCTGCTGGGAAGGGGAGAAGCTTCCGTCCTCACAAGAGATGCTTCTGCTGCTTGTATTATCTCGAGGCTGTCTTGCCACCCTGCACTTGAGGATTGCTTGTGCGTTGTTCAGAGAGGAGGAGGACTCTCTCGGTCCTGCCATTTCTTCACGTCGGTTTGTTCTGAGCCGCCTTGTTTAGATTAATTAACCCTGTGTCTTGCTGTATGGATACATTTACTTAGATTGGGTAAAATAGAACTGCTTGGCCACATTTATCTAACAGCATGTAATTGTATTCCATCTCCTCTCTTTGCTCTGACTGTATCTTTGAAGAGTTTTCTATTTAGAGATGCCAGACCTGGTACAGTTGCGGACTTACAATGTGATCTGCAAGGGTGGGCTTTTTATTTGAGATAAGCATGGGCTGTCTGTGCAACAAGTGCAAGTTGGTTGTTCTGTTGAAAGGAAAAGTGAGAGTACTGCAGGACTGAGTGTTCACCCTCAAGGAAATAAGAGAAAAGAGCAGTGCTTAGAGTGGGGAAAGTACAACAGCAACGTGAAATACAGGACTTGGAAGAGCAAGAGCAAACTGAGGCAAAAGAGAATCCTGAGGCAAGGGAAAATGAAGTAGAGGAAACTCCCTGGAAAAGGCTAACAGTTAGGAGTGGAAGAACTAGAAGATGCTTTGCACCAGTGGAATTAGTGAAACTATGATAGTGGTACTTCGGCTCAAGAATGCCTCAGTTCATGACCAAATCGGGAACATGAGCACGATCATGGTCATGCTTGGGTGTGTGTGTGTGGGGGGGGTATTGCTGTGGTCGTGCTCGGTGGGTGGGGGAGATGGCCGCGATCTTTGTTGTTCTTTGTCACATTGCTTCAAATTTTTGTAATTAAAAAAATTAGTTACAGAACGGATTAACCTTATTTACATTGAACCTTATGGGGAAATTTGACTTGGCTCACAACCAGTTTGGGTCATGACCAGAGTCGTGGAACGGATTAAGTTTGTGAGCCAAGGTACCACTGTACTGGAGGATGAGACCAGAGCACAGCCAGCAAAGGAAGAACTACCCTGTGCAACAGCAAGCAACGGGCTAAAGGTCAGACAAGCAATGGCAACAAAACCAAGGGCAACAACAACAAAATGATTAATAGTTGTGGGAGACTCTGCTGTGTGGGATTGAAACTTGTGTATGGGCTTATCAGATATGTTGTCTCCCTGGAACACATATGAGAGATGTGACTAAAGGGTTGCAAAAAAACAAAAACACTGCACTAGCTTATATCGCCAATCAGAACTTTAAAAAACCTCATGGGATTTGAAGTTGGGGAGAAAACTCAAGAATTTTGATGTCCAGATTCTCATCCATCCTTCCTGTACTAAGAGGAAGAATAAAAAGGGAAAGAGAAATGTTCTGGGTAAATGCCTGTCTATGAAGGTGGTGACCAACAGGAATGATTTGGATTTAAATCAAGCCTTACTGACTAGTGATTTAAATAATGATTTAAATCAAATTTGATTTAAATAAAACTATCCTGGGAAAAGTGGCTGTGTCATTCTTGAATTCCTTATTCTAATACAGTGGTACCTTGGCTCACGAACTTAATCCATTCCAGGACTCTGGTCGTGACCCAAATTGGTCATGAGCCAAGTTAAATTTCCCCATAAGGTTCAATGTAAATAAGGTTAATCCATTTTGTAACTTTTTTAATCAGAAAAATGTGAAGCAAAGTGACAAAGAACAACAAAGATCGCGGCCATCTCCCCCCACCACCCTGAGCACGAGCGCGGCCATCTCCCCACCCCCCCAGCACAACCGGGATCATGCCTATCATCCCTGCATGTTCCCGGCATGCTGGGGCGGGGGAGGGACAGGCACAATCGCGGGCGTGCTGGGGGGGAGAGACGGGTGCAAACGCGGGTGCGCTAGCGGGGAGAGATGGGTGTGATTGTGCTGGAGGGGAGAGATGGCCAAGATCGCGGTTGCACTCGTGCAGGAAAGACGGGAGCAATCATGGGCATGCTCATGCAGGAAAGACAGGTGTGATCATGGCCATCTCCCCCTCCCCTCATCCCTAGCACGATTGCGGCCATCTCCCCACTCAGGGGGGTGGGGGGATGGCCACGATCGCGGTCACCACCCAATGCGGAGTTCATGACCTGAGTCAAAATTTTTAGGAAATTTTTGTTTGCAAAAACTAAAGTTTTTTTTCTTCTGAACTTACATAACTTTTCAATAAGACTGGTAAAATCCCTCTTTAAAAGCTGTATGATAAAGACAGAAAAGTTTAAGAGTTAAAATCTAAATTTTCCATAAACCATTCTATAGGAAAATGATCTAGACCTGGGACTTTCTATTCTTCCATGGACTCAATAACATCCTTAAGTTTTTCCATTGGCAGAATATTTTCCTTTGCTTCAGTTCAGCATAGCTCTCTCACATGCGACTAAAATAACAGAAGTCCAGAATCGTATGATGGGAGCTCATGAACCATAGCTTCTGAAATTTTGATGTGACAAGGAATTGCACTAGAGAACAGGAGCTGGCAGAAAATAGATCCTCATATGCTTTGGATTTCAGCTACAAACATTCCTGACCACTGGCCATGCTAGTAGAAGCTTCTGGGAAATGAAGTCTAAAACAGCTGGAGATCTATTTTTTGCCTGCCTGCAGTGTTGCAGTCCCCACCCAAAGGCCAATATGGAACTGGGCACATTAATTTAGGTAGATGGAGCTGGCTTCGTTGTCAGTAGCATTCATGAAGTTTTATGGGGCAAAGTAAATGGGCTACAATCTGCAATATTTCAGAAGGAATAAAACATCTCTCATTTCTGGGGTGAGCAGGAGCAATTCAGGTTCTCACCTCATTAGGACTCCTTTACTTTCTTACTTTCTATTCTTCTTGGAAAACTGAAATAGGCGCTGTTGTGATGGAAATAAATCTGCCAAACCATAGTGCTGGGTGATCATTTTCTGTTGACATGGACATCACTGATGTATAGTGCGCTACACACACACACACACACAGCACTAGTAGCAGACATGCTACTGAATAATAGGTTATTTGCTTTTTGTCCACAGGAAGGCTCATTTGTTTACCTTTCTGTGATGGAAAGTGTTGAAAAATCAGACAGCATACTGGCTTCACTATGTAAGTACTCTGAAAATGAAAAAGAAACCTGCTTTCAAGCTGTACATTTTAATATTCTGCAGACAATGTAGAAATCATTAGAAGCTGTTATATTTTGGCTTAAACATTGTTAGGCTAAATTTTAGAAGATGGATCCAGTGATATCCCCCAATTCTGACAATTTTAAAAGGAGATTGGAGATTAAGGCTACTAGGGGCTAAAGGACTTGAATGGCTATATGCTACCTCCAGATCAGAGGCAAGAAAACATGGGCAGGAGTATGCTATCATACTCATCTCCTGCTTATGCATTTCCCATGGACAACTGCTTGGTCACTTTGTGAACAGACTGCTCTCCTAGGTATGCCCAGCATGGCTGCTTTTATGCTTTCTTTAAAACCCAGAGTACTAAGCTTATTGTTTGAAAGTGGGTGAGCTTGCATGGCTGGACAACCCACCCTGACAATCAACCAGAATGGGTTGGTTGTTGTATAGACAAGTATGAGGTGCCCTACAGACTCATTGCTGGTTGCTTGCTCCCTTCCTCCCCCTTGATCCTCCAGGTATCTCAGGAGATTCCATTGTAAGATGGACTCGCTTTCCTTCCCCCAGCTGCAATCAGAAACCATTTTCTGCTTGCTGAAACTCTCTTGTTCCCTTTACCCTAATTTTTGAGATCATGAAAAATGATCTCTGATTTGACAGCCATTGACAGCTCCTTCAAAGTGTCTAAGTGGCATATCAGAGGTGCTGCCACTTATCACCCCTTTTTAAAAAAGATGTGCACAACTTTTGCTTTTTGCATTTTTGAATTTTTAAGGTTTTTTAGTCAGGCTTGCCCAAGGACATCCTTGCTGACTTTCATAGATCTGAAATGTCCTAACTCAACTGCAGTGCTGCTAGAATCCATCGGGAGTTGCTCATGGGCATTGACTGCAAGAAGCTACTTAGACATTTATTTTTCTCTTTACTTTGTTATGTATAGGATAACTGGGAGCCTAATAGAGGTTGTTGTTGTTTTCTTTGCTTATATGGACACAGCCTTCTAAAAAAATGTATATACCTGTCCCCCCTGCCCCTGCACACTTTTAAATGTTCCAGAATTATGACATGTAGCTCCTGTAAAAAAAATGGCTCACAGTTTTCTGCATTTGCTTCTTACTCTTCCAGCTATTTTAATAACTAGTGCTTTGGTATTTTATTCTTCCACTGGTTTTAATGGCCATATGATATCTTGGAAAAAGGGGTGGCCATAAGATATCTTCAGTGTTGATTTTTTAACAAGGCTCTTCTGAAGACCCTCTCACTTTTCTATCCTATCCCATTTATATTAATCCAGATGCTCTCAGTGGAGCAACTAAGGACCTCCTTCTGTTTTTCTGTGCACAGATAATGTATCTTTAATATATAGTGCAACTCCACCTTCCTTTCTGTTGCTTCTGTTCTTCTTGAGCAAGTTATATCCTTCAGTCGCTGAATTCCAGTCATGGCAGTCATCCCACCAAGTTTCAGTTATACTTATCAGGTCATATTCAGCCTCCTGTATTATGAGTTCAAGTTCATGCTGTTTGTTTCCTATACTCCAGGCATTAGTGTATAGACACTGAAGACCTTGTGCTTTATACTCAAGCTTTTTCCTGTGTTTTTTTTGAAAACCATTCTTGGGCACTGTTAAAGCTGCTGTCTGTTGTTGTGCATAAGCCTTTGTCTGCTGTTCTGCCCGGGTGTGCTTCTCCATCTCCTGTTGATAAATTCTCCAGTTTGATAAATTCCTGACAAACCTTCTGTTAAACTTAAATATCATGGCACATCACTATACAATATAATTAATATTTCCCTTGATATTGAGAGTATCTCCATATGCTTAAATAATCAAAGAAAAGCTTTATTGTCTCCTGTATCTGAATATTTCAAAATGTTTTCCCAGTTATAGATCTAAAAGCCTGTAGCTTTGAATACAGGAGAACTTTTACAGGCAACAACAAGAAGCCAACGCTGGGATTTGGCAGGTTCTAATGTTGTTTGCAGGATGAATAAAGGTGCCCCCTTGTAGTGAACTCCTATACCCAACCTGTTTCTTACATTGTGTTGAAGACTAGAAGAACAATATTGCCTGTTGCTCTCCTTTTTCCTGTTCCTTTCTGATGTTTAATTTATGCTGATTCATGAATTATAAACAACAAACTAATAAAAGTTAATTATAGGGAAGGAATACGGCAAAGCAGATGCACGGTGGCTACACTCTGATCCTACTGTTCTCTCAGTGGAAATACTAACAGTTTTTCTGGATGGACTCTTAGCATTGGTTCTCATCTCTGCTATTCTCAAACAAAAGTATTATAGGTACGTATTTTTGTTGTTGTTTAGTCACAAAGTCATGCCCAACCCTTCGCAACCTCATGGACAACGTTCCCCCAGGCTCTCCTGTCCTCCACCATCCCCCAGAGTCCACCCACTCCTCACTGCCCAAGTGACCCCATCCAGCCAAATCAACCCCTGCCGTCCCCTTCTCCCTTTTCCTTCAATCATTCCCAGCATCAGGGTCTTCTCCAATGAGTTTCCCCTTCTCATTAGGTGTCCAAAGTATTCAGCTTCAGTATCTGTCCTTCTAAAGAACAGTCAGGGTTGATTTTCTTAAGGACTGACTGATTTGATTTCTTTGCAGTCCAAGGGACTTTCAGGAGTCTTCTCCAACAACGCAATTCAAAAGTGTCAGTTCTTCAGTGCTCAGCCTTCCTTTTGGTCCAGCTCTCAAAGCCATACATTACAACTGGGAAAACCATAGCTTTGACTATACAAACTTTTGTTGGCAGGATGATGCCTCTGCTTTTTAGTATGCTGTCTAGTTTTGCCATAGCTTTCATCCAAAGGAGCAAGCGTCTTTTAATTTCTTGGTTGCAGTCACTGTTTGCAGTGATCTTGGAGCCCAAGAAAATAAAATCTGTCATTACGTCCATTTCTTCCCATTCATTTGCCAGGAAGTGATAGGACTGAATGCCATGGTTTTAGTTTTCTTAATGTTGAGTTTCAAACCAACTTTTATGCTCTCTTTCACCCTCATCAATTCGTTCCTCTTCACTTTCATTTTTTACATAAAATTAATTCATTTAGTCACATATGCATTTAGTCTTTCTGAGAGCAGCCTGTGGATGATAAGTCAGAAAAAAGTTCTGTGGGTCACAGAATTGTCAAACCAAATGACAGCTAGAAAAATGATGTGGATTTCAAGCTGCAAATCACAGAATCATAGTAAAGTTGGAAGAAGCCTACACAGGCATCGAGTCCAACCCACTGCTCAATGCAGGACTCCAAGTTAAAGCATTTCCAACCGATGACTGTCCAACTGCCTCTTGAATGCCTCCAAGTGTGGGAAAGCCCACAACTGCGCTAGGTAATTGGATGCATTGCTGTACTGCTGTAACAATCTGGAAGATTACCTGATCAAAAAATGATATCAAATTAGTTTGGCAAGACTTGTTCTGGATTCATTCTAGATTCGTACTAGATTCTACTAATTACTCCATTGCCGTTAAGGTGCATACAGACTGACTTCTGTATTATCCACTCCAGAATTTTCCCAGGGAAAGTCAATCTAACTGAGCTGTAGTTCCCAGGATCCTGTATTTTGCCCTTTTTGAAGATAGGGGCATTAGCCTTTTCAGTCACCTGTCCTCCATGATTTCTCAGAGATAATAGATGCCTACTGGGAGTTCTTCTCCAGTAACTGTTGTACTCTAGGATGTGGCTCATCAGACCTTGGAGATGTGAACTCATTCAATCCAATTAGCTTATTCTTGGCCATTTACCTTTCAATCTCAAGCTTCAATCCTGTCCTTTCAGCTTGTATTTCATTTCTGCCATGGGGGTCATAGACCTGTTTTTGGGAGAAAACTGAGTCGAAGTAGGAATTGAACACTAGAACACTAGACTTCCTTTTGGCTTTGATCTAGTTGTTCATTAATGGCAGCAATATCTGTAGTTATATTCTGGTGTTTCCCAGTAGTTTGTGGAGTGCCTTCCAATCTGGGAATCTCATCTTCTGGCATTTTCTCTTGTTTCATTTTGGATTGTTTCACCACAGGGTTCTCAAGGTAAGAAAATTTAGAAGAGCTTTACTATAGCCTTTGTCTGAGCAGTACTAATCAAAGTTAGTTGAAGTGTCACTGCCATAGTCTGTAAAAGATTCTCCACCAGTGTTGCCTTCAGCTGCTGCCCAGTAGCCACCCTTCAAAAGTTTATCTGTCCTCATTACTATGAGAAATATCCTTTCTCTTCTGCTGATGTGACCCTTGCTCCTGAAGAAGGTGAATGCATCTGGTGTCTCTGCTTTGACCATTCCTTCTTGGATGACCGTGCTAGGAGACCACCCCAGTGAGAGAGTCTGGTCTCATGGTGGCACTGCTCTCAGCTTCTCTGACATTCTGAAACCACCTTCCCACATTAAGGTGTGCTTCCAAGAGGGGATATAAACTTGTAGTCTTGTAAAAAGCATTCATATTGCATTTATGTTTTGTCTGGTACAATGCTAGCAATTGAATGATATTATGTAGGGAGCTAATGTGCTGTCCCAGACTGGAGACGTTCAAGATCTGTTAAAGATGCTTTAACTTGGATCCTGCATTGAGCAGAGGAGTGGACCTACTGTCTTCAGCAATACTATTGTATGATTCTATGATCTCCAGAAACAAAGTCAAAGGTAAATAAGCAGATTTTATAGGACTGGTGCTTGGGGGATGTGAGTTCAAATGTTCAAAAACAGTGCCCGAAAATCAACAGCTGAATTTCAAACTTTGAGAAGGTAATAAAATTGTGTGAATCTTTAAATGCAGTATTGCAGTTTTTTGTCAACATGTTTATTTCTATCAAGTATAGCTTGAATTTATCTTTAAAAGTTACACTGAAAGCTAAAATTCATAGAATTCTAATACAATTATTTTACTGAGGAGGAATTACTAAAAATGTGGAAAAGAGGGAATGCCTATATTGTCATCTTTTCATATTAAAGTATCTGTAATCAGTGTATATCTACCTTTGAAATCTAGTTTTTTGTTTTTTCATAGTCCTGTTGCAGTGACAGGTATGCAGCTTGTGTCTGCACAACCTTCCAAAAATTCTAGAACATAGTTTGGTGGGAGACCCACTTCCATTTCTCAGATCACATGCATTCCTATGTACTTCACTGTTGACTGGTGTGGCAGTTTCATTATTAGAATGTCCTTTTTCACTCCTTTGAAAAGTTAAGCATTTCTCCCCATCCTTTTCTCCCCCACTTCTTCTGTCTTTAGTCCTCTTCCTCTTTCAGGTATTGTATTTTATTTCACTTGGATGACATTTGTGCTGGTCAGGCATCTGCAGAGGCAGGCCTCCTACCAAAATGTTTCATTACCTAGATAGAAGGTTCTGAAACTTGTTCTGCACAGGGACAGAGTCCCATATGTACAGACAGCCACTCAAAAAACTTGTTACAGGCCAGCACCGTGCCTTTTTTTTTCAAATGTGTACTGAAATAAAGTTAATATTTTTCAACAGATATATTCTTGAAGGACAGAAAATTGTTTCAAATTAGGATTACTATTTGTAATATTTTTAGGTATAAAGGATTTTCCCACACTTCTGATATGAAGTGTTGAAATGACGATTAGTTACCTTGGCTTGTCAAACTATTGAAATGCAATTTGTTTTATGTGTGTTTCAGATGTATGGTTCTAATTTCATTCTATTTCTTGCAGACACTTTGTGCAGATTACATTGTGCATTTGTGAAATATATGGTGGATGGATGACCTTTTGTCCAGAGTGGCTCACAGGAAGCCCAAATTTGAACACCAGTAACTGGCTTTATCTGTGGGTGTATTTGGTATTTTTTAATGGCATATGGGTAGCTATCCCTGGACTTCTATTAACGCAGTCTTGGACAGCACTCAATAAAATGCATCAAGAATTATCAAAAAACAAAAAATGTGAATGATCTGAGTATAGCAATTTTCCAGGTAATTGTAGGAACTCAATGGAAAGGAAGATGCAGAGAGCCCTGGGACTCTTCCCCTTCTCTGCCACAGTGTCCCCTTGCCTAACATGCTACCATTGGTGTATACCATATGCGACCGTGCAAATTAGTTCCAGCCAAAGCTTTCTTGGAGTCCTGTACCCTTTCTTCTAGTATTTGCCCTTTTCTCAGTCCCCGCACACAGAGCTTATTCCCAGACATGGACATGAGGAAATGTAGGCTGTTGGGAATGTGAGATGTCTTCTTGTAACAGCCAATTTTACTTAATAATTGGGGCAGTTATCTTGTAAGGTCAAACCAAATATTTGATGGGCAGCCTGCAATTTAGACATTCCACTGTTTTTGTTTTTTCTCTTCTTACAACTGTGAGAATGTCTTGGCTGGTTGGACCAGTGTCAGGATCTGGACTGTTCTGGTGGCCAGAATGCAAACACCACCACCATACTTGCAGGTTCATTCCTAGGCTCTGCTGGAGCTCTCACTCTGCTGATGAGAGCAAGCTGGGAGTTCTGGGGGGAAAGCTGTATATGAGCAAGTGCCTCCTTTCACAACTGGCCATGGTGATACATGTCTTTCTTGTACCTGCATCCTGCCTGACCTTTCCTGGTTTGTGCTGTGTATCCTGCCTTGCCATGCTGTCCTGCTGCTGTGTTTCCCTCTTGTCTGACCTATATCATGCTATGCCATTGTCGTGAGGCCGAAGCACTCTTCCTAATTACTCACACAGATACAGGCAATAAGAGTTTAAAGCCTTTTATTCTAAACAACTTGAAGATGCACAGATGAGAAATAGCACAGGAGCCGTTGATGGTAGTTCTAAGCAACACAGTTGCCCCCTCCTTTCTGACCTATCTTAGATTTATGACTTACTTTTAACCCTGTGCATATGTCCCTCCCTACGGGGGCTAGATAAACTCCTCTCCCTCCTTCTTTGACTTTGTCTCCTAATTGGCTCAAATGCTGAAGTCTTCTCCTCAGCTGGGCATTCTCCATGGCAACGGGTCGTCCCTCGGCCTGCTGAGCTGTTCCTGCAGGCTCGAAGAAAACTTCGTCAGAGTCAGGCTGTGTGTGTGTGTGTGGGGGGGGGGTGTTTCTGCTATGGGCACCAAGTAGAAATCTTCTTGCTCTAAAGCCTGACACTCCCTGGGAGTTCCTCTCTCTCTTTCACGTGCCAACGACTTTTCTGAGTCGTTAGGCCCGACAGCCATGTATCTTGCCTTGTCGTGTATCCTGTCTCATTATGCTGCTTCAGTCAATGCAGGTTTGTCTGCTAGCTGTGGTTCAGCTCCTGCATCTTGTCTACTCATTGCTGCATTTGGTTCCTCGTGTCTCCTGCCAAGTTATCCTGCCTCAAGTGCCTACATCCTGTCTGATGCTTGCCAGGTATTCTGTCATGCCATGTCTCTGGCCCTGTTATCCTACACAAAGTACCTGCACCTCTGTTTGGCTTGTCCCTGACCAGGTCCTTGTTCTGCCCTGATATGTGCATCTGGTTCCTGATGGATTTGCCATCAAACCTTACACTTGGACTCTGTCTTGCCTCAGGTTCTGTTGTGATGCATCTTTCTTGTCTCTGGCTACCCATGTCCCAGCCTTGGACCCTGCCAACTAGTGGTATTAGAGTGGGGAAGCGTTATTCACTTTTCTCCTGCATCATTCTCTCCTGTTTAAATCACCTTGGCTTGTTCCTGACCAGGTCCTTGTTCTGCC